AGGAAGCTTGCCATTACCTTCCTCTAAGGCTGAGAGAGTGTGACTTGCCAAAGATCACCCATTAGGCTTCCATGGCTGAGTCTCTTGTCTCCTGGAGCTTTTGTTTCCTATTCCAGTACTCAAATCACTATACCACATTGGCTGTCAGCAAGCATTTACATTTTTTTTCAAAGCTAATGAAAGGAGGAGATGATAATGCTTATGTGCTTGGTCTTCTTTATATACAGTGCCTTGCACAAGTATTTACTCCCTTTGACTTTTCCACATTTTGTGGTATTATATATCTATACATTCAAAGCTAGGTTATAATAGCACATTTTGTAGTATTATAACCTAGCATTGAATGTATAGGTAGAAATGTTGTTTATTGTTAGGTAAACAAAAATAAACAATGATGTGTAGCTTGCATTAGTATTTATGCCTGACAAATCTGTGATGAAACCCACTGCTTCAGAAGTCACATAAGTAGTTGTATGGAAGACGTTTGTGTGTAATTCCAGTACCACATAATCTCAGATTAACTCCACTTGCTTCCGTAAATCCCATAATTTGTTGGGTAAAACATCTAAACAAGCAGCATAATGAAAATCAAGAAGTTATCAAAACAAGCACCAGATAAAGTTGTTCAGAAGTACCAATCAGGGTTGGATTATTTTTAAAAATCCCAAATAATGAGCATCCTTGGAACACTGTTGTATCCATGATTCCAGAATGGAATGGCTCTGCCTAGAGAAGGCTGTCCAGACTCACTGACCATGTCAGGAGGATAGTCATCAGAGAAGCAATCAAGCAGCTCATGGTTAACTCTGAAGGAAGTAGAGAGAGCCACAGCTGAGGTGGAAGTGAGACAACTGTCATGCAGTCATCCAGTCACTCCGTAAAGGTGGGGTTTATGGAAGAGTGGTGAGAAGAAAGCCATTGGAAGACAACCTGTATCAAATCCCCTTTGGAGTTTGCAGAAAGCCATGTGGGAGACACAGCAAACATGTGGGGAAAGATTCTCTGGGCTGATTAAGCCAAACTGAACTTTTTATCCTTGCTACAAAATATGCTGTGCCACAAAGCCAACAGTGCTCATTGCACTTAGAACAACATCTCCACAGGAAGATGTGGAGCTGGTAGATACTCTTCTTTGGCAGGGACTGAAAAACTGGTGAGGATTGAGGGCAAGGTGGATGGAGGCAAATATTGAGCAATTCTGGAGGAAAACCTTTTTCGATCTGTGGTCTGGACCTGGGATGGAGCTTCACCTTTCAGCAGGACAATGATCCTAACTAACAAAAATAATGTTGGAGTGGTTTTAAAATGATAATCTAAATATTTTAGAATGGCCTAAGCAAAGTTCAGGCTTCAATTTGGTGGAGAATATGTGGCAGGTTTTGAAAGTTGCCATTTACCAACTTTCTTCATCATACCTGACAGAGTTGGAGCAAGAATGGTAGGGGCAAACTGCAAGACCAAAATGGGCAAAACTTATAAAGACTTATCTAGGGAGATTTGTTGCTGTAATTGTGCTTCTAAATGTGTTTCTACCTAGGTGAATACTTCTGTATGCAAAAGGTGCAAATTTGATTTACTTTTAGACCACCATAAAATAGGTTGTACTTTCACACCTTTGAGTATCTTGTATGTATGAAATGAATCCATTTCAATTCCAAGTTGTAATACAACAAATTATGGAAAAGTCCAAAGGGGGAGGTGAATACTTCTATAAAGCAATGTATGTTATTAAAGCCTTCAACTTCATATATGTTGTTATTGTACTTTCAGCAGAATGCAACTAGTCTTATAACTTGCTGGGATAATAATAATAATAATAATAATAATAATAATAATAATAATAATAATAATAAATTTTATTTATAGCCCGCCTCTCTGCTCAACAATCGAGGCGGGTTACAGCATTAAAACAAGACAATGTAAAAACAACCACAATCCCCAAATCCCAACCTCCCAACCCCTTAAAACAGGATTAAACAAAAAAAGATTAAAAACAATTAAACAATTAAATAATAAAACAATAAAATTCTACACAGAATAGTCATACACGATAGCCAATTAAGTAACAGACTAACTCGTCTCCCAGGGCAGAAAATCCGGGGGAATATTATTCAGGGAAGGCCTGCCGGAAAAGATCCGTCTTCACTGCCTTCTTAAAGTCAGTGAGAGTAGTAATAAGATGGATCTCGTCTGGCAGGCCATTCCATAGCCTGGGGGCGGTAGCGGAAAAGGCCCTCTGGGAGGTCTGAGACAGCCTAGTTTTTATTGGCTGTAACAGATTCCTCCCAGAGGACCAGAGGGCACGGGGGGATCATACGGGGAGAGGCGGTCCCTAAGATAAGATGGACCCAAGCCATGTAGGGCTTTAAAGGTTAAAACCAACACCTTGTACTGAGCCCGGAAACTAATTAGCAGCCAGTGGAGGGATTTAAGCACTGGTGTAATGTGCTCCCTCCTAGATGTCCCAGTAATTAACCTGGCTGCCATATTTTGCACCAATTGAAGTTTCCGGGTTAGGCACAAGGGTAGCCCCATGTAGAGTGCGTTGCAGTAATCCAGACATGAGGTTACCAGCGCATGTACCACAGTTTCCAAGTCCCTTGGAAACTGTGGTACATACATGTATACATGCTCAACAGTGACAGCAGTTACTAACAATACTGAATGACTGTTGCACAGGGAGGTGTTTCAATAATTTGTTTGAAATGCAACACAAGTGGTTATTAGATTAAAGCCCCCCTGGATATATGGAACAAGTAGCATGGCTCCTAGTTACGTATGTATCACTTACTGAGATAAAGTTCCTTTCATCTACCCACTTCTCATAGGCAAAATAGTCCTAATCATTGTTTTCATTAAGCATGTATTACTTCAGTATCCCTTGCTAATGAACAATAAAGTTTATTTCCAGTAGCTGAGTGCTTGGATATAGAATGGTGTGGGCTCTTTGTTATAAATGTCAGTCTAAGATGCAGAAGAGTAATTTCAGTGTGTTTAACCCTGCTGTTGTCAAAAGCAAAGACATCCCAATATCATGTAGGCCCAAAACAGATGGGACAAATGCACCGCCTTCAGGCCGATCCAGGGGCGTGGCATTCAGATGACAACACCCCTGCATCAGGTTGAAGCCATGCCATGGCAGCCTAAGGCAAAAAAGTGCTCCTTGCTGGGGGTCCATTGCAGACTGTGGCGGTAACTGGCCTCAGGACTGCTTTATCTGGTCTCCACATTCCCACACCAAACAGGAAAAGCGATCAGTGCTGTAGCGGCCAGAGGTCTATGGAAAAAAGTCCCCTATGGAAAAGAGCCAAGATCAAGCATATAGTGCTAGATCATATATTGAGAATACAAAATTTCTGACTTTTCAATATTTTTAAATCCTGTTTAATTGTATGGATAATTGTCATAATTCATTTTCTTTGAGATCCATTTATAGTGATTTGTTGCTTTCAACAATGCAGTATATGTCACTTGAATTCTATGTACCAGCTACTTACTCCAATTTATTCATGCAAATATATGTTAGACAATAATAGTAATAATTAGCCACTTCAAACAAGATATTTCACTGATAGGACGTTATCACACTTGCAGCAAGAGAGCGGCGAGAAAGCTGGTC